TATGGTTCTTATGTTTCTTATGCCCCTTACATTGGTTTCAATTAGTTTTTAATTTCAGATGGAGATCTCAGCGAAGAGGTCTTCGACTTTATAATAGTTGGTGGAGGCAGTGCAGGAGCAGTACTTGCTAATAGGATTACAGAGGTCAGGGGTTAAAGGGACTGTCATGCATTGTATATTTAAGTGACCCTGCATGTAAAAAAGAGGGACATGTCCGATTAACATTAATACCCTTGAAACCGTATGCTGTGGAGGATACCAATGTTTTTCTAACTTCATAAAAGCATAAAAACATTGATATTTAATTCAGACATGATCATTAGCGGGTCATTTAAATTTAGATAAGTTTTAGACCAAAATATTTTGAAACTTTATCATACCAAAAGAAGTTATTTTAATTTTCCCCTCTTATCAATTTGATTTCACAATTAATTAGTGTTTTCTATCACGCACCTCTGACCCTGTAGTAAAAGTAAATTCAACCTAAAGTCTGACCGCGTCAACCTTGTTGCACCGGCAAGTGTCTGCTTAATTTACCCAATGTCCGGGCGATACAGTACAAACTTGGACCGGAAAAGTTGACCCGGCTCGGAAATTCAAATGTACTACTGCTGCCCGTGCTATGTATCTAAAGTTGGCCTAACATCTAAGGCCGGCCTTGCAACAGAATTACGATTGGAAACCCTAACTATAGGTCAACATATCAGTTTCAACACAAACAAAATTTTGTATCAATCAAACAGAATTCTTTCAAGTTTCAGATAGATGTAAACAATAATATGATTTCTTCCTATGCTATATTTTCTAGGATCCAAGGTTCAAAGTTCTACTGCTTGAAGCGGGAGGAGCACCCAACTTTGTAACCCGTATCCCAGCACTAGCATCTCATCTTCAACTATCTCCTTATGACTGGCAGCATAAAACAGATCCTCAGGTAGACATACTAAGAGTTCCAGATTGTCTGTATTGGTACAGGCTTAAGAGAACTTGTTGGAGCAAGGTTTTTGCTACATATCGTTTGTGTTTAAATGTTTTACTCAGTATGATTTTACTTGACTTGTCCAAAATACTAAGGGATTCAAATAAAATTATAATTAAGTCAAGTTTTGTTTTCTTAATAATAGATCAGACAGAAATATACTTACATCAATTAAGACAATTGTTCAAATCAAACAGAATTCTTATTGATATCAACGGACATCGGACAATTCTTAGAATAAGCAGAAATGTGATTAGTGTCAGAAGATTAAGTTGTCACAGTTATGAAACCCTAACGGTATTTCAATAGACAGTTCCAAATGAGTTGAGTTTTTGCCACAAACTCAGATTTCCATGGGTTTANAAGTTTTACAGCATCCGGTTGCAAAGATTAAGTGATTAGAAAATTGGAGTTTGTGGCAAAAACTCAACTCCCTTCACGGCAAGAGTTCACTTCATGCTTGATTTAAAATTCAAATTAACAAAAAAGTATAAGATGCTGTCTTCATTGTAAAATCATATCAATATAAATAAATATTTTGTTTTTAAAAATGTGATTAGTTTACAATGAAAAAATATTTTCACTATATCTAAATACTTAAAGTTATATAAAATAAAAATTAAGTTGAAATAAAACATCAGGGAAGTTCTTATCAAATGTACACTAATTTATTAAAGGATCTAAGTAAATTTCTGCATGAACTTCATCTCCCCCCTCCCACAAACGAATACACGCAAACAAACAGAAATATAAAGATTTCAATTTCAGTATTATCTATTATCTAAGATACATTTAATACTAAAGTAATTGATCTCTGTTATAATTTGCTTGTTATAATATGTTTGAAGCAAGTAGAATTCTGCTTATAACTTACTCTAATTGATATTCTAATGGAAGTAAATGACGATTCATGATGCAATCCCTGATCGCCGTAATTAATGCAAGCATGTTTCTCTGCTGGCTTGGATTTTGGTATATGAATGTAAATAGTAATCATTTGAATGTAACTAGAATATAGTGTACAGCTGGCAAATTTACATCAAGCAGTGTAACCTTTGATATATTACAACGGATGCTTATCCGGTGCACGAAGTAATTGACTGTTGTTTTTAACAGTGTATTTGCACGCTATGATTGGTTGTAATTATTGGTTAAGCTGACTTCAGATCAGGGTTGTTCAAAATCTTGAAATTTGAATCAGTTGCTCAGAATTTGAGCCAGTAAGGCTATTCAGAAGTGTTGAACCGGCAGTTCAGCTTCCTCCAAGTCATTAAATTTGGCCCCTGATGTTATAAATGATAGGAGGAGATTGTTGACTAAATATTTCAAATTTAGAAAAATGCCTGTGGCGCTATGGAAAATAAAAGATGTTTGTGGCCAAGTGGAAAAATGTTGGGAGGCTCTAGCTCAATAAATGCCATGATGTACTCAAGGTAAAAATACAATTCATTTTACATTTTACATTTTATATTTTTTTAAATGACCCTTCATTAAAAGTTTAACAGATACAATTTTCTTTTTCATTGTTACTTAAATGCAAGTAATTTCTTTGAGAAACCACAGTTGAAAATTAATAATTAAAAACTATTAATTTAAATTGATAAACTGTTTTAGAGGAAACCCCCAGGACTATGATAGATGGGAGGAAGCTGGAAATCAAGGCTGGTCTTTCTCACAGGTCTTTTTTCCATAATTTATAGAAATTTACCAAATTTGGATTATATTTGTATCACTGAATTTTATGGATATAAGCAAAATAACATGCAAATGTCAATAAGGGTTTTAATAAATGTTTTTACAATTTTATCTGAAAAAATGTGAACTATATTTTTACACAGAATTTACGTAATATCAATAAAATTCTGTTTACACGTAAATTGAGACAAAGAAATCTCAAATTGAACAGAATAGGATTAGGGTGTAAAAATGTATAAAAAAATATTTGATGAGATGACAGTTTGAATAGATCTGGGAAAAACGCAAAAAAAGAATTTAAACTGTTGAAATTACAATAGTGTATAGACATTCTTTCAAGTAGAGCCTTATAAAACAACCTGTATTATCTTTAAGAATTGACATATTTTTCAAAAATTGTATTCTACAGGACGGGACAACTGCCTGTAATAATCATACAGTTCCATGTATGATAAAAATACACTTAAAATACATTTTTTCTGTAGATAAATCAGTATTTCCTGAAGTCTGAAAGAAATCTAGCTGGACATCCAGGAGATCACGGACAGGAAGGGTTTCTACCTGTGGATGATGCAAGATATACAACACCTATGGCACAGGTAGCTTTCTGTTATGAAAATCTTTAACACATCTTTATGATGAGTATAATCCTTGGTTAGACCATACAGGTTATAAATTCTAGCTCCAACCTAGGGTGTCAACCCGGGGGCCAGGTGATTGAGATTGCTCACATGATGGCGGTCCGGGTTCTCCAACTTGGGGGNTACTCCTGTTTGGTTTATTCCTAAAGTATTTGTCAGCCCACATCAGTGATGTTGATTTTTCTTCAGTGATTGTTTTGGATACCCACCATAGGATCAAGTATTTGAATAGATCTATGAATGAATAAAACTTTCAATTTTTAGGATTTTTAGGATTCTTGCGGCCCACATAAAAATATTTTGAATCTAAACATTGGCTTTCCATTTTTACATGGACACATCTTTCAGTATTCAAATTTAAAAAGTTTTTTTTTAACTCTTGAATTTTGATTTACAGGAATATATGCAGATGGCAAGGGATGCAGGATATGAACTGAAAGATCTGAATGTTGAGAGAAATACAACTGGTTTCATGGTTCCCCATGTTACATTAGGTCAGACACTTAGAGACGCATTAAAGGGAGTGACCGGCTATGTATAGTGTTGTGGAAAACTTCTTACGGATTCATTTGAGACATATTAAACTTTTAAAAGATCCGTAAATCCTGAGTTTGAGCGCAAATTCGACGTTCAAAAATTCTACTTTGGGGGTGAATACGTTTTCCGAAATCGTTTTTTTAAATTATTAAATAACAACAACGAAAAATAAAGTAAAAATTATACAGTAATCTAATTAGATGGTTAGGAACATATT